CCATGCCCTGGCAGCAGCCAGGTTCCCCCACCCCGACCCTGCCACCTCCCTGGGCACTCACAGCCACTTCTCCATGTCCCCTCAGCCATCCACATCCTCTGTTACCTCCGATGAGAAGGTGGACTACGTGCAGGTGGACAAAGAGAAGACGCAGGCCCTGCAGAACACCATGCAGGAGTGGACAGACGTGCGGCAGTCCTCGGAGCCTTCCAAAGGCGCCAAGCTGTGATCGGGCTCGAGGTTGCGGCTCCAGGGCCGGCCCCTCCCCTCTGCCACTCTCAGCCTTCAAAGCATTTGACATCAGGGACTCTGCACCACTCTCGGGAGGCCAAGGCTGACGGAGAGATGTCCTCTGCCCACGCAGCCCCGCCTCTGCCCCTTAGTTAGGAGCTGTTGCCAAAAAGCACCTGGCTGTGCCTGTCCTTTGGACCCACCTGCCCCCCCCAGCCCTCTGTGGGGGAGAAGGCTCCCAGCCCCATTCCCTTCTCACCACCCCAAGAGTGATGGCCCAGTGGACATAGACGTTCTTGGCAGGGGAGAGGCCATGCCACTCATAGGCAACAGTCCAGGACAGCAGGAGGGTCTTGAGGGCAAAGGAGTAGCTCCCAAGAGGCAAGACAGTTGACACTTGCAGGGCCCCCACTTCCAGGCCCAGGTCATGGCAGCTGTGGTGACGTGGGAGAGGATGAAGGACGAGACGGGGAAGTGGAGATGGGGGGGAGGCAGCATGGAGCAAGGCTGTGAGCTCAGGTTGGGGTGACAGGCACAGGGGGCTCAGGATCCCCTGCCCCACTGTAGAAGCAGAGAGTGGTGTGGGAAGAGGGAACGTGGCGTGGGTGGAGGTGGTGCAGAGAGGGCCAGGACTGGGCTGTGGCACGAGTCTGTGAGGTAAGTAGGGTAGCAGGGCAGAGGTGACCTGATGGGTGAGAGGAGGGGTGAGGCTCAGAGCGCTGGGGTGCAGAGTGGGCAGAGTGAAGGAAGCAGTGTGTGTGTGGTGGAACACGAGGGTCATACCCAGGACTGACGGAAGGCCAGTAAGCAGGGCAGGGTCCAGAGGACGACGTGGAATGTGGTGGACAGCTGGAGTCAGGTCTGGGGCTGAACGAGGCCAGCCGTGTTCTCAAGTCCTCTCCCCTTGAGCCACTCACGAGCATTCCAGGTGCCACGTTGGACTCAAACCTTGGCTACGAGGACAGAGAAGCCAGCCCTCTCCTCCCGGGGCTCAGCAGGGATGGAAGGAAAGCATGACCCAGGCCTAGGGGAGGGGATCAGAGTTGTTTCTGTTTTAAGTTCTTAACCAAATTGTCAACAGATGCAGAGGCAGCAGAGCAGACCAAATGTCCCACCCGGACTTGAGCGGGGAGGTAACAGGGAGGACAGACTTTTCTCCAAGAAAGCACCCCCCATGTCATGGGTGTTTCCCACTCGCCTCACTCCTGTGAGCACGCACATGTCTCAGACCAAGAGCCTGGCCTTCTCTGAGCTGCCCGGCCCCAGACAAGGGTACCTGGTACAGCGGCCCCTGCCCCCGCCCCTTCCACTCAGATCCACTCCACAGACCTCCAAGAGCTGCCGTGGCCAGGCCCTGGGTGCAGGCAGAAAACACAGTAACTCTTCAGACCTGGGCCCTGAACTTCAGAAGACGTGGCCAGGCCCTGGGTGCAGGCAGAAAACATGGTAACTCATCAGACCTGGGCCCTGAACTTCAGAAGATAGATGTCAGTAAGGACACAAGACAGCAGTGACAGTCAGGGCAGAGGGACGTAGATGCTGACGGAGTGCGGAGCAAGGGGACTGCTTCCCTGAGAGGTTGGGGCCCAAGGCTGGAACAGAGAGGAGGTAGAGTCCGGAAGAAGAGGGGCCAGAGAAGGGAGCTCAGATCTTAGAAAAGGCAGGGTGTGGGTCTAGTGGTGCAAGAAAGGAGAGACTTGGAAAGCTCTGTGCTTTGGGACCAGAAGTCTTTCGGTAACAGGTCTGGCCACTCAGAGGTGTTGCTGTTCCCCTGGGGGACAGAACAGGGGCAGCCATGGCTGTGCTGGGCAGGATGCTGGTCCACTAGGCCCAGTCCTGACTATGTTCCTTGAAGGCCTGCTCCAAGGGTGCCCCTGAGGCAGAGCTTTTACCTGGCACCTCCCTGTATACTTGGCACCTCAAGGTGCCATGCTGAGTGCAGCCTGCTTGGAGGTTCCGACCCAGAGTCCAAGGAACACTTCTCCCCCTCAGGTCTGAGGACTACCGGAATCCTTAGGGGCTGGGAGGAGGGACGGAAGGGAAAGAACCAGAGCAAGGGGCCTGTTGAGAGCACAGCCCCACTCAACCCCCAGCTCTCTCATCAGTCATGGCTAACAGGTACATTCCACCCCACCACCCTCAACAAGGGTCATCTACTCAGTTTAGAACTGGTCTTTGGGCATACCTGTGGGTCAAAGTCCACCTCCCCTGGTCTGGCAAGACTGAGATCCCAGCATGGGATGCCTCCGCAGCCGGTCACAGATGCCGGGACACGTCCTGCCTGGGGCTCCCCACAGAGCCATCTTCACCCACTTTGACCTCACCTCTGCACCAGTGATGAGAAGTCTAGTGCAACAGCAGCCTGGAGGGAGTGGGGTCTCCTTAGGAGCTTGCTTTGCCCATCGGTGATTAGATGGCCCTGGTGCTCAGCTGCTCTAAGAGGACTCCCTTCTGTCACCTGCCTGAGTCTGGACCCCCAGGGATGGGCAGCACCGATTCACTGCCCCACCCCCTTCCTAGCTCCATCCTCCCATCCATACTTGGAAACCCGCCTGACACACCCACTCTGGGACTGAAGCACAACCTTCTGCAGTTTGGAAGCAGAGGCTCTCCTCCAGTCTGCCCTCGGGTCCCTCTCCCAAGGAGTTTGTCTTGGCCCTAGGCCTCGGCCACCCCTTGCCCAGCCCTGAGAGCGCTCTAGAATACAGGACCAGAGGGCAGCTAGCACCAGCCTTGTGAGCAGACCTCATGAGCATGAAAGCCCGTGCTACAGGGGCCATCTTCCTGGGACCCCCCGAAGTCTGGGCTCACGGTGTGCCACCTACTGTGGGGGACCTGGAGGTTCAAGCTACCAAGCACTGTCTGATTGTGTGTTCTCGTGTCTTTGTTGGCTACTTGTGTCTTGAAATTTAGAAATCATTTCTCACAGAATTGTTGCTATTTATCGGGAAGAGACGATGGGCAACAGCAGCCCAGTCTTATGTTCTTGTCTCTTTACTGTTTAGAATTGACATTTAATTTTTTCAATCACTGTTGGTGCCTAATCACTTAAGTTATTAATTTATTCTGTTTTCTTTTTTTTTTTAAGAAAGTGTAACACGTATTTATCCCGTAGGTCAGGGTGGGGGGGAATTGTTCTCGGGTCGTGGTTTTGCTGTGGTGACACATGGTACAGGCCTAGAGCTTGCTGGTCCCTTTCTACTGTGGTGTTGAAGCAGGACACAATAAAGTCCCGTAGAAACACAAACCACGGGCTGCACCAGTGTGTTTGTATGTCCGTCTATCTGCTAGGTTAGGAACAGATTGGTACTCACCCTGTCCTGGGGGCAGCTGCAGCAGACAGCTGCAGTTAAATACGCAGCAAACCCCTTCAGGGCCAGCTCTCCAGTAGCCCCGGCAAGGCTGATCGGCTGCCTGCTCCGTTGTCATGAGAAATAGCTGGGGCTAGGCTGGGCTGGGCGCACACGTGTGGCCTCCTCCCCTTCCAGCCTGCTGTCCCCAGCTATACAAAGGACCCTCTGCCAGCACCTGCAAAGTCATCTTAGAAAGGAGTCCACATGGCTCAAGTCCCCGAGACGGCACAAGTCCAATGTCTTAGGGTTCTGTGACACTTGGGCAGAACTTAACACCTACAGCAGACACCTCTGAATACCCAGTCACACCATCGGCACCCATCTGTCCCTGTCTCCTCCCATGAGGGGTGGGACAGGTTCGATGGAAAGAGCCAGCAGTGACTAGGGCAGTCCAGGGTTCCTGGATCTGGAAACTCCAGCCGTTGGTGCTCCAGGAGCACCCAATCAGTGAAGGTCCAGACCGTGCACCCTTCCCTCTGCCAACACCATTGCACCCCATTATCGTCCTCTGCGAGGCCACACCCTCCTTCACACGGCACCACAGGGGCCTCCCTCCATGCTGGTGTCACCATCACCAGGGCAGGGGTGTGCCCTCACCTTGTCAAGTAGCAGTCTAGGGTGCCAGCAGACAGCCCAGGCTGGGGAAAAACCCCGGGTACGGCCAACACAGCACGAGACAGAACGACATCGCCCCAGGCTTCAGACAACTGAACTTTATTCTTGGTAACATGGGTCTGCTCTCTGCATGGAAAAGGGACTAGAGCGGCAGCAGGGCCCAAAGTCGCATCCTGCTTCACCAGACACCCACCCTGAGGTATGGCTGCTCTCACAACGCCAGCAGCCCCTTGGCTCAGAGGAACAGCCCAGCCAGCAGCCTCCTGGGCACTGATGAGGCTTCATGGGAAACAGACATCTCTGCAATAAGATAAGGACCCTACCTTCACTGGGAGGGGATGCGGGGACAGCATCTCAGGCACTGAGGCAGGCTGGGGGGTCAGGGGTGCAGGGTGAAGGGCCTCCCACTGAGAGGGGGCTGAGCGCTGCTCATGGAAGGGAAGGGAGGGAGACAGAGGAGAACTGAGCGGGAGACAGGGCTCCAAGACGCTCCAGGCTGCCTCCCACCTGTGCCTCAAAACCGTGAACACGGTGCTGGCCCCCAAAGGCACCCACAAACCTTTTCTCTGACTGCCCCCCCCCCATCAGGAGGATGGCCGGGTGACACCAACGCTTCTCTGTGCAAGGGCTCAGGTCCTGCTGTGCTTTTCCTCTAGGGAGGTCAGGAGGGCACACCCACGATGGGGAGCGCACTGGAACCGGCTGCCCGGCCCAGCCACGGGCCCCATGCCCACCATGCCTTCCAGCACAGACGCCGCTGGGTGGTCAAGGGCAAGTCCAGGCTGCCTCCGTCCATGTGGCTTTAAGTTCACCAGGACACTTGGGTGTGAAATCTTCATAGGACCAATCCACGGGGCCCAGGGTCCGGACAGAGGGACTGGATCTCACCTCCGTGTCCGAGTCTCCTGGTACCCTTCAGGCTGAAGACTGGTGTCCCAGAAGCCCCCTCTCCATCGTCTGTGCCCTCAGGAGGGCTTACTTCAGGCCTGGGCCCTCCATGGCCTCCCTCAGACCCCACCTGACAGAGCAGCTCTGCCTGGGCCTGCCTAGGCCTGGCCTTAAGCAGTCTCCAGGTGGGAGTGGGCTGGAGGGCTCGCATCAGAACACCAGTCTGTGGAAGTCCCCACCATTGCCACCCGCAGGGTTGCAGCCCCCTGGAGACCCCTCATCCTCATCCTTGTCCTCGTCGAAGCCCCTGCCCCAGTGCGGAGACGCGGGGAGCGCAGAGATGTAGGCCGCCCTGCTCCGGGCCTCCTTCTCCTGTTCCTGCAACACAGAGGGTGGGGAGAGGCAAGTCGGACCCTGGAGCCGGTCTTCCCTCTACTCCCTCCCAGGGCCACCAGCTCAACACTCCTGTTGAGCGGCTCCCAGGGCCTCAGGACAGAGAACAGCCCAGTACCAGGATAGGGGGGCGGCCCCACCCTCCACACCAGACCTGGGCCCCAAAGCCCCCTCTTCCTGGCCCTTAGAGGAAAGGAGCTGACAAGGGCCTGGGGTGGCACGAGGAAACAGGAAGTCTGGGGATTTCAGGAATCACAGCCGAGCACATAGAAACCCCTCGCAAGCTCCTGGCCGCAGTGGTGGGCTGCCTGCCTCTCAGGGACTCCCTTCACCTGGGTGGCCGTGGGGAATGTAGAAATGGGCCCAGCGTCCTCACACCAAACACCGACTGAGGGTGGGGGTGCCCATAGGCCTGGAGTGGCTATCCGGCCATCTGTGGCGCAGACCCCCTGCTGGCTGGGCCCTTGCTGACTGGTTACCAGGGGCTTTGTCTTCACTCTGAAGAATGGAGCCAGACAGCCACACAGGAGGGTCACTGGGGTAAGGCCCAGGCCCCCAGAGCATCGCCTCCTGACTCCCCGACGTCTCACTCCTACAGAGCTGCGCTGCCCCCTCAGCACACTCACTAATGCCCCTGCAACAGCCGTCCAGTGTCTGTCCCCTCAGGAAGGCCACACTTGCCTGGGCCACCCCTGTGTTCTCAGCATTGAGCAGCAGGCAGAGATGGACGGATCAGAAACAGCACAGGCTCAGAGAGAGGAGGACTCTCTCTTCTAGGCCAGGCCGCAGGGGGAGGCCCTCCGCCGGGAGCACCACCGCCTGGCTGCTCACCTGCAGGTAGAGGACGTTGTCTTTGGAGATGGCCTCCATCAAGTCCTTGTGCAGAGTGGGCTCCGCCCGGGTCCTGGGCCAGCCGGGCTCAGCCTCCGGCCCTTCCTTGGGCCGCTGCCGGTAAAAGAGGACGTAGGCCGTGTCCTTCGGGAAGAAGGAGGTGACGTTGCTGACAGACTCAAAAGAGGAGAAGGACACGCGGGTGTCGTTGAACAGGTACCACTGGTTCTCGGGCTCCGGCCTCTCGGCGGCGCCCAGGGAAGGCGCGGGGCGGGCGGCGCCCTCCCGAGCGTAGCAGTAGTAGTGCCCGCTCTCCGAGGACACTCCCGAGTGCACCACGACGCTGCACAGGTCGTAGGCCTGGCCCCGGCCTCCCGCCAGCGGCAGGCGCAGTTGCAGGGGTATGGCGACGTCGTCCAGGATCTTGCGGCGCCGCATGGTGCGTAGATCGAAGGAGAAGCGCAGCAGTGTGAGGATGAGGTAGCGCGGGCCCTGGCTCAGCTCCACCACCTTCTCAGCGTCCTGCAGCGAGGCGCACGGCTCGCAGTAGTAGCGGTTCTCGGCCGTCAGCCTCTCGGGGGACAGGAAGTAGTTGACCAGGTCCAGCACCGAGCGGGAGCCCTCGGCCCCATATGCCTGCTCCCCGGAGTTGGTGGTGGCTATAGCGGTGCGGGGTGCTGGCGCCAGGATGTCCTCTTCCTTCCCCGCCTCCTGTAGCTCCGCCTCCTGCTCCTTCTCTACCTCCTTTTCCCGCTCTTTCTCCACCTTTTCCTCCTCCTCCTCCTCCTCTTTCTCCTTCTCCCTGGCCCTTTCTTCCTCTTCCTTTTCCCCTTTCTCCTCCTCTGCAGTCTCCTTCCCTTCCCCCTTCCTCTCCACCTTCTCCTGCGGGTTCTGCCCCCCAGGTCCCTGGGAGCCAGGGCTTCCACCCACATCCAGCACGGTGGGGGGCGCCTCCCCAGTGATGCAGTGTTTCCTTTGCCTCCTGGACCCAGTCCTGCTGGGAACCTGGGCTTGGGGTGGCGACGACAGCTCCTGAGCTTTGACATCCTCTGAGGGGAGCATGACGGAACCCAAGCGGCGGCGACGACAGCGCTCAGGAGGAGGAAAGGCGAGAGAGCCGGGCGCGCAGTAGTAGCGGTTCTCGGCCGTCAGCCTCTCGGGGGACAGGAAGTAGTTGACCAGGTCCAGCACCGAGCGGGAGCCCTCGGCCCCATATGCCTGCTCCCCGGAGTTGGTGGTGGCTATAGCGGTGCGGGGTGCTGGCGCCAGGATGTCCTCTTCCTTCCCCGCCTCCTGTAGCTCCGCCTCCTGCTCCTTCTCTACCTCCTTTTCCCGCTCTTTCTCCACCTTTTCCTCCTCCTCCTCCTCCTCTTTCTCCTTCTCCCTGGCCCTTTCTTCCTCTTCCTTTTCCCCTTTCTCCTCCTCTGCAGTCTCCTTCCCTTCCCCCTTCCTCTCCACCTTCTCCTGCGGGTTCTGCCCCCCAGGTCCCTGGGAGCCAGGGCTTCCACCCACATCCAGCACGGTGGGGGGCGCCTCCCCAGTGATGCAGTGTTTCCTTTGCCTCCTGGACCCAGTCCTGCTGGGAACCTGGGCTTGGGGTGGCGACGACAGCTCCTGAGCTTTGACATCCTCTGAGGGGAGCATGACGGAACCCAAGCGGCGGCGACGACAGCGCTCAGGAGGAGGAAAGGCGAGAGACAGGTCCGTGAAGGCCTCCTCCCGGGAGGAGACACCGAGGCAGCGGAGACAGCGTATCCGAGTCACTATCTGGCCTCCAAACATTTTCTCCACGGAGGTTGGACTTGGGCCTGGGGGCTCCTCAGGCGGGGAGGGCGTGCTGGACTGCTTGAGCTTCTGGCAGATCCTGGTCCCCGTTTTCTCCTCTTCATGCAGCCTGGAGCAGGGAGCACAGGCCTACGTACAGACGCCAGGGCCCTTCCGTGCACTCTCCTCATTCCTGCCCCTCTACCCGACTCAGCTGGTCATGCATTTAGACAGACATGCATGCATGCAGCAATCTGCACAGGGAATATACACACGTGTTCAAAATGGCATGCTAGTGTGCATCCACACACGTGCACCCAGAGCCAGCACACACACCACGCTTGCCGGCTCGCAGGCATACCAACAGGCTGCAGAGCCCTGCCAGATCCATGCGCAGCGCCTCTGGGGCACTGAAGAGAGGTGCACACGGACCCCTCAGAACTCAGCCTTCCCTGCAGCTTCTTGGTTCCCTCGCACCAGCCCACCACCCCTGCGGCACATAAGCCCGTCCCACCTTCATGGGTGCAAGGTGGGACCTCTGTTTCCAGGAGAATGCAACAGCACAGCTCAAAGGTAGGACTTTCCTCCAGGAACCCTCTCCAGATCTGGAGGCCCCCAACCAGGGCCAGGGCCTTGGCCACCCTTACCTATCCAGCAGGTACTTCAGGTACTCCGAGCAGTCCTGCTGGGTGCCTGGGCTAAACCAGGGTGTCCAGGATGCAGACAGGAAGTTCTCTGGGGAAATGGCAGGCCTCTGGAACAGGTAGGAGGAAGATGAGGTCAGGAACGGAAGGCTGCTCACCAGCCTACAGCTGGCTCTGCAGTGTACAAGGCCAGGGGTCTGGGTCTGCCCCACGCTTCACCACACCTTGCTGAAGTCCCTCCCCTTCCAAGCTGCCCCAACCCATCCTATTCCATGATCTACACAGCCCTGAGCAAGGCACCATATCTACAGACCAGTACCATTTGCTCTGGGAATCTGCTCTTCCTGACACCTCACAATTTCTACAACACCTCCCCCTCCAGTTGGGACACATCCAGATGCAGTGTCACCTCCCATGAGGTCTTCCTAACAGCCTCTCCTCCATCCTCCATCCTCATCAACCTCCCCGCCCCCACCCCGCCTCCCTGTCCACTCAAACACGCCATCTTTGCCGAAAGCACGACAATGTTCTCTGCGGGTCCATCTCCAACTGAGATGGGAGTGCCCTGAGCCAGCACTGTGGCTCAGACACCTGTGTCCCCCCCAGAGCCCACAGGGTGCCTAGAAACATGGGTGCTCAAAAATGTCAGATAAATGAGTCAACACCTTACTGCAACAGGCCAACCTCTGAGGGAGATCTGGGATGCACAGCATGAGGGTGGCAGAGGCTGGGGAAGCCTTCCCCCTCCTGCCCAGCAAGGGCACCGAGTCACCCCATGGCTTTGGCCACAAGCCTGGCCCAGCATGGACTAGGGCTCAGCTTACTCCATGAAGGCAGTGCCGAGGCCAGCTGCAGGCAGGTCTGGGAAGGGGGTCAGTGCAGGGCCTGGCGCAGCCCCCCGCCACCCCGCCCATACCTGGCTGTGCTCCAGGAAGGCGAAGAGCCACTGCAGTTTGGTCATCAGGGGCTGAGAGTTGTTCTCGGTCAGCCGCAGCACACAGTGTCGGAAGCTGCAGCACAGAGGAGGGTGAGCCCAGCCCCAAGGAGAACTCGGTGCCTCGGGGCTAGAAGTGAGACCATGGTTTCTAGCTCAAACCGAGGCCAGAGGCCAGGAAAGCAGAGCAGGTCAATGGCTTGAACAGGAGCGTCTGAGGTCACAGGCAGCCTGGCCTTGGTGCAGATGGTACCAGGTGCAAGTTGGCCCCACAGTCCTCTCTGGCTCTAACACCCATGACTCCAGAATTGGAAGACTCAGCATCCTAAGGCCTGGTGGCCACAGGGTTCTAAGGCTGAGGTGCTCGGGCATGCGGCTGAGTCCCTGCCCACACTGTCCCAGACATGCCAGCCATTCACATGCCCCCTCTTTGCCTCCCAACAATGGCATTCACACCTACCAGCGCAACAGGCTTTGTTCCAACCCACTCCCATAGCCCTTGTGCCCAGAGCCAGCCAGAGCTGTTGTCCTGCCTTGAAATGAGGGCAGCATGGGTCAACATGAGAGTTCGCCGAAGGCAAAGGATGCTGCAAGAAGAGGCTGCACCCCAGTGACAAGACCTGATCCCATGGCAGACAGGGAGGACCCCTGACACCACGTAGCCTGGACCAAGCTGATTCTCAGGCCCTAGCTGGGCTCCTGCTCTCTCAAACAACTCTGCAGTCAGTCCTGTGTTTCTGTCAATTGAGCTCACTGCCCAGAACAGGGCCACTCCAATTATGGGCCATTGGCTGGTTGCAACAAGGCAAACCCAGAACTTGAGTGCTTAGAAATTTTCACCATTACTATGACCTGGCATGCAGGTAATCTTTTATCTGGTCATTTCATTGTATTTCATGGAAGTAATGGTCTGCAACAGACCATCAGTGGAAAAAAAAAAAAAAGTGAACCCTTTGCCTGGCACCTTAAAAGAACGAGTAATGGCGGGGGGGGGGGGGGTGCGGCAGTCACAGCCACAAGTTCCTCCCACTGGGCCTGGAGCTAAGAGGGGAGGCCAGCTTGAGGCTGAACTACAAGCCCAAACCAAGCTCACAGTCACCAAATCTAAGCTGAAACTCATCATTTTGTTCTTTTTAGGTGTTTTGTTTTGCTTTGCTTCCCATAGGGCATGTGTGCTCACTGCAGAGAGGGAAATGAGAGATCATCCCTCCAGAGGTGATGGCCATGCTGTAATCCCTTCTCTTCCATTCTCCTCACAGGATTTTGACCAAACACCTGGCACGATTTTCAAGCTACAAGGTCTGGAACTCAAACCAGTCAGCCACATGGGAATCCGGTGCCTTAACCACACCACCTGCTGGTCCTCAAAATTCTGGTGATTTTTTTAAGCAAGTCATGAGGTAAATAGGAGGTCACAGAAAATAACTATTGTATTTCATTTAAAAAGAAAGCTGGGACCTTGTGAGCCACTCTGTTCAGGCTGGCTCCTCTCTCTCAGGAGTTCACTTTTACTTAATAAATTACCTTTCCCTTTAAAAAGAAAAAAAAAAAACTGGGCCAGCTATGTGGCCTGGTGATTAAGGCATCCAGATCCCACACAGCTACCCACGCAGTTTGAATCCCTGCCCTGGTGGCTTCAAAAACATGCCAGGCACGTGCAAGTGCTTGCCCAACATCCCACCAGGACGGAAACCTGGAAGAGAAGGGATTGTGCTGTGCCCATGCCCCATGGGGGGGAGGGGTCTTTCCTTTCTCCCTGTCTCACACGCATGCCCTCTAGCTGAGAGAGAGAGAGAAAACGAACAATGTCTAATGCCACAATGAGTGGCAACTCTACTCGAGAAGACATAGGCCGCCCTAGAGGCTCCCAGGACCCTTCACGTTCCTATCCTGTACCCAGACCTCAGGGGACCGTGCCACCAATCATGCAGGCTCTCCTCCCCCCACCCCTTCCCCCAGGGACCCCAATGAGAGATATGGGTCAGACAGAACCACGCAGCCCTTACTCGGAAGCCATGAACAGAGCCTGAAGGATGCTGTTCACGTAGCACGTGTTGCCCAGGTTGATCAGACCGATCTTGCCTGTGTCTGACTTGGCCACAAGCCGCGGGTGGAAGCCAGCCAGCTCACTCCTCTGTGAGGTCCAGGCATCCTGCCCCAGCAGCTGCTTGATCCGGTCCTCATTGGGAACATGGAGGTCCTGAGGGAGGGAGCAGGCAGGACAGTGGGAGCCTAGCTCAGTCAGCTCGAAAGGCATCACCTCCAAGAGGCCTTCCTGGATTGGAGTCAACCCCATACCCTCCCCCAGCACAAATGTTTGGAGATGTGTGAACAGCCTCTTGCTCACAAACTCACAACATGTCTCTTCTTGATCTGTGGGCCCGCCACATGACCTTTCATGTCACACCTACCTTAAGGTAGAGTACCATTTCCATTTGTAGATGAGAAGACAAAAATTCAGAGGAAAAGCAGTAAGTGAAGAACTGGCACGTGCACTGAAGGGCCCAGGGTATGGTGGACTACAGCGTGACCACTCCGGCCACTGGCTCGACCCACCAGTTCTAGTCCTGCCTCTCGTCCTCACTGCCTGGCCCTGCTCAGTGAGCATCTCTGACTCGACAGCTAACCTCTCGGGGCCTCAGTTTCCTCATCTGTGAAGTGGGGCTACTCCTACCTTCTATCAGCTTGTCATTCTATACCTCCACAGGGCTTGCACACAGTAATGTTCCTGTTTCTATTTTCTGTATCTATTTACTTCTTTAAGAAGAAAATAATTATTATTTTATTTGACCAAAGAGAGAGAAAGTAACATGAGAAAGAAAGCCACTAGGTCTGGGACTCAAACCAGTCAGCCATGTGGGAACCCAGCACCCTAGCCACCATGACACCTGCCAGGCCCTCGCTTACTTCTATAACTTTTTTATTTTGTTATAGGGTGCATGGGCTTGCCAGAGATAGAGAGGGAGAGAGGGGAAATTGCAAAAGCACCCACTTCCCTACCCCCACCCCAGGGAGATAGCCACACCACAATCTCTCTCCTCCATTCTTCTCTCAGAATTTTGGGCACACACATTCACATACATGGTATATCTGTCCAGTTGCTAAGTCTGGAAGAGAGCCACACTGCCAGCCACATAAGATCCACTGCCCCAACCACCAAATGGCCCATTCATCTACTTTTAGGTTTGCAGACTCAACTTTCAAAAATAGTTACCCCCAGAACTTGATTCTTTGGTCAGGATCCCAGAGGTCCAGGATGGGGGTTCTTGGCCAAAGGCTCACATATTACCAGGCTGTTCCATTCATTGTCCTCTTTCACACTAAACAGCTGTATCTAGAATACTACCACAAGGTACCAGTTCTGCTACTGACAGTTTTAAAGAAAACCACCTAAGGAGCCAGCAGATGGCAGAGCAGTCACATCACTGGACTCCCACAGGGCCGACCACAGTTCAAGTGGCTTACACGCTGGGCACATGTACATGTGTGCCCCGAATCCCAGAATGAGAAGAGAGGAGAAGGGATTGCAGTGTGGCCATCCCTCGGTGGGTGGAGGGGGTGATTTCTTGCCTTCCCTCTCACTGTCTCAGTCTCTCTCTCTCTGGCAAATGCATACACCCTAAGGCAAAAACTTATATTAAAAATCTTTTTTTTTTAAAGTAAAAAAAAAAAAATAGCATCCTATAGCACTCCTTAATAGACCTGAGTGCCATAACTAACAGTTCTTCTGGCCCCAGGGCTGTTTCCAGATCCTTAGCACAGGGCCATAGCTTCATAAAAGGCTCCACAGAGGTTCCAAACCAACTCAGAGGGCCAGTCCTATACCACAATGGTTAAACACTGCTCAGAGGAAGCCAGATTCCACATGGCTGACCAGGGTTCAAGTCCTGGCCTCTGGTGTCCTGAAAAACCACCAGCTACAGACATGCCCAAGATCTTGACCGGCTGGAGCACAGAGGAAAATGACTTATGATGTGATCAGGCACCACTGGGAGATTCTCTCCCTCCCCCACCCCCTAACTCCCTCACTCATCATCTGGCAAATAAAACAGCTTAAGGACAAGCATATGGTGTAATGGTTACATTGCCTGACTCCCATGTAGTCAACCACGGTTCAAGTCTCAGACCCGGCAGCTTAAGCTCACACCAGGCACATGTGTGCGTGTACCCAAGATCCCAAGAGGAGAATGGAGGAGAAGGAATTGTGGTGTGGCATCCCCCGCCTCCCAACAGGGTGGGTGGGTGTGTGATTTCTCGCTTTCTGTCTCTTTGGCAAGTACATGTGCCCTATAGCAAAAATCTCTCAAAAACGAAGTAAATAAAACAGCTTAGCACCCAAGCCCTGACTGCCCCTTCAGGACCTCTGGCTAGTGTGAAGATCTTGCTCAAGGAGTAGTAAACATTTTTGCTCACTCCTTTTCCAGGATCACTTAGATGACTCGTCGACACTCATAGATTTTAAACAAATAAAACCAAAAACTCCCTGAACACAACCAAAATGCTACCAGAGGGGAGGTAAGAAGATACAACTCGGCATCGTCCCTCAGCTCCTTCCCCCAACATTACACCTTATCCAGTCCCCCTACAGCCTGAATGGACAAAAAGGCCGACAGGCAGAACTCCCCACCTCAAATGTATGCCCAAAGACACAAAAATAGCCACACTAGAAAATAAGGCCATCAAATGCCATCGTTGGGGACCAGCAGTTAGCGTAATGGCTATGTCACTGGACTTCGATGTAGTCGACCGCGGTTGGAGTCTCAGACCCGGTGGCTTAAACTCACGCTGGGTGCGTGTGTGTGCGTGCCCAAGATCCCGAGAGGAGAAAGGAGAAGGGATTACGGTGTGGCCATCCCTCCTGAGGGGGTGATTTCTCGCTTTCTATCTCTCTGTCTCTGTCTTTCTGGCAAGCACACGCACCTTATAGCAAAAACCTCTCCAGAAAAAAAAAAAATGCCATCGTTCCCCCAAATGAGGTAACTTTGTACCCCCAGGAAAATAAAACAAAAACTCTCCATTTCCTAATGTTGCTGAAAACTTATATGATGGCTCCCCTAACAAGGGCCACAGCTCCCAGAGAAACTGCTGTACCCTGAGATGTCTGCATACACAGGAGAACTTTCCAGAACTTACTTACAAACGTATGTGTATACAAAAATGAACTCGTAGGATGCATGTGAAAGAATTGCCATAAACGACAAAATCCTATCATTGCCTGCCTTGGCCCTCCAAATGACTTGTCCCATGGGGTATTGAAGCTTCCATCTGACATTCAACAGAGAAAACAACATTTGTATGAAAGAAACAGACATTTGTTTGAAGTATACACGGGAGTCTTTGAAATCAAAGGAGATCAAGAAACTCAGAGCGCACCTTGGATTGCTTCAGGAAAGCCGCCTCACGCCAGGCGTCAGGTTCTTGGGTGGAGACACTTAGGGGGCGCAGACCAGTAGGAATAAGAGCAGCTGAGCCCTATTCCATCCCCCCAACTCTGCTGACGCGATCACCAGACAGGACCTGCTTGTTTCCACCTCGGGCTCTCCCCGACTCCCCTGGAGTGCCCCCCCTGCCGGTCCAAGGTCTATCCACCAAAGGCTAATCCCCACATGACCTCTCTATAAAACCCCCCAGGATCTCCTCCTGGGGGGTGGGGGACTATGCTATCAGTACCTGTTCTACAAAGCCTAGCTCCTGCACCGCTGTGCAGGCATTCTGCAGACTGTCCTTGTTCCCCAAGCAGACCATCAGTCCCTGGCGGGCAAAGCCTGGGTCTCACTCAGCCTGGGTTTCTCACACACCTAGGACAGGACCAGGCTCCCTGTCGTCTGTTCACCCATTCATCACAGCATTTGTCACAGTGCAGTCATGATCCAGTAACAGTCCAGACCACCCCCTCATGCTTACTGGAGAACATGGATCAAAACGTGGTCATAAACAAGTTCACCATCTAGCGGGAAATGAAGAGAATGGTCCCAAAGGCTCAGATCTGCCTGTGATGCTTGAAAGCCTGGTACCAACCCAAGGAGAAGCCCTGTCTCTTCTGCTTGTCCACCTGCAGTGACAGGGAGCTCATATACCTATCGAAGGAACCCCTTTCACTGAGGTTAGCTCTATTAAACCTCTTATTTTAAGTTTGAAAAAGATAGATTCAGGGAAATGGCAGAATTTTTGTTTGTGGCATCCATTCTCACACACGGTAGCTTGTCTCATTTTTTTTCCCTTTTTTGTTTTTCTAAGAGAGGTTTTTGCTATAGGGCACATGTGCTCACTCGAGACCAGAGAGACAGACAGACAGAATGGCCATGTTCCAATCCCTTCTCTATTCTCCTCCCAGGATCTTGGGCATGCATGCACACGAGCCCAGCATGAGTTTCAAGCCACCGGGACCAGGACTTGAACTGAAGTTGGACATGTGAGAGTCTAGCACCGTAACCACTATGCCACCTGCTGGCCCCCTTTCGGTTTTCTAATTCTTGGATGATAAACTCATCTTTGGTGGAACATCTTTTTTTTTTTTTTTTTTTTTTTTTTAACTTTATGGCTTTATTGCATAGTTTTTCCTGATCACTCTTCCACTTGTGGTAAAAGCCTTTCTTAGGTCCTGGTTTTTCTTTTGGGCATCTTGAGTAAAGGCCTCAAGCCTCACTTCCCTTATCCTTGGTGATTGAAGCTGGGCACCTCATCTTCCCTCTCTCACCCCAGAGAAGAACATCATTTCTCACTTACCGTTTTAGATTTTAGTTTCCTCTTCCTTTCTGGCCCCTGAAGATTCCCCCTTATTTTCTCGCAAGCTCAGCTATATATTTAAAAAGATGTGTGTTATATCTGAACAAGCATCTCTAGGTCTGCTGCAGCGGGAGGCTATGCAGGTTCTCGTCTGCTGAGCTGCAGAAGTGGACGTCAGACCAGAGGTTCTGAAGGCCACCCACACCCAGAGAAGCCTCTTCTATCAGGCACTGGCAGAGCCTGTTTACATCCTTCACGGTCTCCGGGACTGCATAAGTGACCTAACCTTCCACCTCCCCTCTTCCTCATCTGTCAGGTGGCAACAGCAGTATCTACTTCACAGTTTCCTTGAGCATTATCAAGGCATCCATCAGCAGATGCCAGTTGCTGTCAGATGTGGGGCTCCCTTCCTGTGTGGCCTCCTTCTCTACCGGAGAGGATCCTTCCCTCTCCAACTCCTGCTCCCAGGCCAACCACTATATTCATTTTTGGGAGCTGCTGACATCCAAGTTTCTGGAATACAGGTCTGCCACCTGTACCAGGCTAAAAGCTTCTCAATGGGAGAGCCTCGGTCCACCTCATGCCTGTGTCCCAGTTCCCAGCAGGGCCTGGCACTCAGCAGGGCATTAGGAAAGTCATGTGAACAATCAGAACATTCCCTGCTCTGGAGTTCTCACAGTCTGGTGCGCCAGAGACACATGCACAGTGACAACATGTGACAAGGACGTGTCAGGGATGTAACAGCCCAAAAAGAGCCTGATACAGCCTGTTGTGTGTTGGGAGGTTGGGGGGCTACTGGGAATTATCAGGGAGGCCTCCTCAGGGAGGTGACACTTGCACGGAGCCCAGACAAGTACGAGTGATCCAGGCAGATTAAGGATCTATAGTTAGAACAGCAAATGCTCAGGCTCAGAGCAAGCACCAGAAGTGACTCATCTGGGCAATGGGTACACCTGGAGATGCCTGGGGGCCCACTGCACAATTCAGCACAGCTGTATGAGACAGGGGCCATGTGGGAGGCCTGAGTTCAAACCCCTGAGCAGCCTCAGTAGGGTGGGCATGGCGGTGCGTGCCTTCGGTCCTGGCTAAGGGGGAGGCTGGGATGAGATTCCATCAAGAGGACCTGCTCGAGTCTCTAGGCCCTTCCCTCACCCCTTCCCTCTCATTTGGAAGGAAAAAAGGAGGGACCCAGGAGGTGATGGGAGACAGCCAATGACCTAATGAAGGGTGGCTGCCGCCAAGCCATCGTACATCCTTGAGTGAGGCCAACACAGGCACCTCTTTCTAAGTGGGCAAGGGGCAAGTGGGGGATCGTCACTCACCTTGATGGCCTCCATGACAGGCTCGTACAGGTCCGGGAAACCCGGGAAGCGGAACACCATGCAGTGCACAAGCTCTGCCAGCTGCTCCAGGCAGCTGGTCCCCGAGTTCGAGTCCTCTTTGACCAGAGAGGCCACCATGGGGGGGATGTGTGGGAGAAGCTGCAAGAGCAGAGCAGGTGGGCTCAGCACATAGTCCCAGTGGCACAAAGCACCCTGAGCTGGCAGGCAGGTCTCCCCCACCCAACCATCATCTCCCTTACCCACGAAACTTGCTTTCTAAGACATGACCTTGGACACCCTGCCTCGGTCTCTTCATCTGTAAAATGGGATCGGTAACACCCTCCTCACAGCTGAGGGGAGGCCAAGCCCCCTCTGTTTGGCCTCAGACAACCTCTCAGAGCTGCTCCTTGAGCCTGCAGGCCTGAGTAACCTAGGCATCTCCACCAACCAGGAGCAATGCTAGGGCTGTGGTCCCTCTTACACATGCAGGAGGCAAGCACTTCATCCTCACAAGGGCCTCGCACAGCACAGTAACCGTCCCTATTTCACAGATGACGATGTTGAAGTGAGACAGGTTATATATATTGGACTGTTGGAAAAAGTCATAACATACTTTTTCTACCCAAAAAAGCATCATGACTTTTCCAACAACCCAACAGTTTGCTGAGGATGTCACTGTGGGCGGTGGGAGGAGCTGGGGTCTGAGCCAGGTCTGCCTGCATGAGAGCCCGTGTCTTTCCCCAGTGTATGGAGGTTTGCCTCTCAGGTCCACCTCATACTGTGCTGTGTCGCCATGACAGACAGTATCAGGCCACAGGAACTGGAAGCAGGAGGACTGAAGGAGAAAAATAGGCTTCCTTCCAGGAGTTAAACGAATGAACATATACTGTCTTCTGCATTATGTCTGGTACGAAGCTGGCCCTGAACCACATTAGCTGTCATCATTCTAGGCTCCATCACAAAACCGTGAGCATGAGTGGAAGCCATACTAATCGCCCAGTCTCTGTTTTCCATCTGTAAGATGAGCCTCAGGCCAACTCTAGTCCTAACATCCAGGGCTTTGTGGTCAGGAGCTACACGTCCCGACCCCTCTCCCCACTACATGGACAGCATATCCAGTCTCCCAGGCCAGGCCAGGGAAGCAGGGGATCCTTGGCCAGTGGCAGAGGCCCTTACCAGGTGGAAGGCCTCATGGGAGTGCTGGAAAGTCAGGAGCATGTACTTGAGAACCGACAAGGCAGCTACCCGGACGATGGGGTACAGCAGCTTGGAGAAAACCTGGAAAAGAGTCCCTGGTCAGAACTCCCCCAGTCATGGCTGCCCAAGGCCCAGTGCAGCCACATGCCAGAGTTGAAGCAGCAGACCCCACAGGAGCAAGATCATGGAGGGCTCCCAGACCTGGATACATGAACAGACAATAGAACAGACAACAGCAAGAAAGATATCTAATGGATAGACAGGTGCACAGACCAAAAGTGACAGTCAACAGTACATGGACTCAAAAGAGTGGTCAGAGAAATGAAGGGAGGGAACCTGAGGCCCAGAAAAGGGCATGAATGGTCCCAGGTCACACAACACCTGGGTGGAGCCCCAGTGTTCTGCCTCCCAAACCTGCACTGCCCTGGCAGGGGACAAACAGGAAAGGGGACCACCGACCTTCTCAATCTTAGCAAGTGAAACCTCGATCAAGATGCTAAACTTCTTAACGGCGGCCAGGCCTTTCAGCAGTGCAATGATCCACTTGTCAATGTTCTTCCCCAGGGGCCAGGACACCCAGTCGATCATCCTGGAGAGGGAGCAACAGTGATGCAGGGATGAGGGCAGCCCAGGGATGAGCCATGTGGTCCCAAATGCCCACACTGACTCACATCTGCACAAAGCATCCCTGGAGTCTGTGGGATGAACAAGACCCCTCCAGGAAATACAAAAGCACCCCAAGCCTCAACCCCCACCACCTGGCCTACATTGGCAGGACAGGGCTTTATAGCTGCCTCTGCCTGGCCTCTTCCCTAGGTTGGAAGCTCTGGTTTGTGCAAGTCCAAAAACTGCACTTCCCCTCTCTGAGCCTCAATTTCTTCCTCTACAGAATAAGAAAAATGCCTCCCTCTCAGAGATATTATAAAGATAAGGGGTAAGTCCACACTCAGTCATTAAGAGCAATAACACTGAATGTTAACAGATTGAATTCCCCAACCAAGACATGGATTGGTTCAATGGATAAAAATACAGGAACCCTCTCTATGTTGCTTACAAAAAAACACATCTGACTGACAGAAATACACGTAAACTGAAAGCTAAGGGCTGGAAAAAGTCGTTTTAAGAAACAAAAATAAAAATTAAAAAGGCTGGAGTTGCAATACTTATACAGACGAAATAGTTTAATATAAAAATGGTTAGAAGAGGGACCAGCAGTTAGTGTAATGGCTATGTCACTGAACTGCCATGTAGTCCACCATGGTTCAAGTCCCAGGTCTGGTGGCTTAAACTCAGGCCTGGCACGTGTGCGTGCGTGCCCAAGATCATGAGAGGAGAACGCAAAAGGGACTGTGGTGTGGCCATCCCTTTTGGAGGATGATTTCTGGCTTTCTATCTCTGTCTCACTCTGTCTTTCCGGTGAGCGCACATGCCCTATAGCTAAAAACACCTCTCAATGAAAAAAAAAAGAAAAAGAAAAATGGTTAGAAGACAAAAATGGGCACAATACAGTTCTAAATGGATTGGTTCACCAACAAAATAATTGTTAATAGTTAGGTGTCCAACACTGGTGCACCCAAATGTAAAAGAAAGACTGCTAGATATATAGGGAGAGATGGATTGCAACACAATAATTGTTGGGGATTTCAATACCCCACTGTTGCCACCAGATAGATCAGCTAAACAAAAAATAAACAAAGAAACACAGGAGCTAACTGATACCATAAACCAAATGGACCTGGCAGACATATATAGAACATTTCACCCAACAGCACACACTTTTTTCTCATCTCCACATGGAATGTTTTCAAAGACTGACCACCTAAGAGGGCACAAAACAAGCCTTTACAAATTTCAAAGTATTGAGACTATCCAGCAACTTCTCTGACCACAATGGGATTAACTTGAAATAAACCACACAAAGAACTCTGGAAAATAGACAAACACATGGAAACTAAGCCACCTACTCCTGAATGACTTCCAAACTAGAGAAAATTAAGACTGAAATCAAGATTCATTGAAACCAACAATAATGAACACACAAATCTCCCTAACCTTTAGGACACAGTGAAAGTTTGTAAGAAAAGTTCATAGCAATCAATGCTCACACACATACACACGTAGAAAGTTGCAAATAAATAACTTATGTCACATCTCAGGAAGCTGGAAAAGCTGGGGCCAGTGGGTGGCATGGTGGTTGGGAGGCTGGACTCCAACATGGCCAAGTGCAGTTCAAGTCCCAGATTTGGTGGCTTCCTTTTAACTTTCCCTCTCCCTCTGTCTTTCTCTGGTGAGTCCGTGTGCCCTACAGAAAATTTAAAAATAAGAATCATAAATAAAAATTAATTCTAAAAATAAGAAAGAAACTGGAAAAGCCACAAAATACCCCAAAAAAATACAAGGAAAAAAAAAAGATTAGAGTTAAAATAAGTGAAACAGAGAATAAAAGAAACAAGCTGATTTTTTAGGAGGATAAACAAAATTGACAAACCAATAGCTAGACTAATCAAGAAAAAAATGAGAAATAAAATAGATAAAATCAGTAACACAGCTGATAATCTTAAAACCAATATGTCAGAAATACAAAAATAAATACTACTACCACAAGTGACAATATGTTAACAAACTAGAAAACCTAGAGGAGCATGTACACATTTCTGGACACATACAAGTTACTTAGGCTGAAACAGGAAGAAATAGAAATTCTAACTAGACCAATAACAAGCAATGAGATTAAATCAGTAATAAACAGTCTACCAAAAAGAAAAAAGAAATCGAGGTCCCAATGGCTTCACTTCTAAATTCTATAAAACTTTTACAGAAGAGCTAATACCAGTTCTCCTCAAACTATTTATAAAGATCCAAAAGGAAGGAATCCTCCCAAACTCATTCTATGAAGCTTCCATCACCTTGATACCACAAGCAGACAAGAATATAACAAAAAAAGAAAACTACAGACTAGTATCTCTGACAAATGCAAATGTAAACATCCTCAAAAAGATACGAGCAAACCAATTCCAACAGCACATTAAAACATTTATACACCATGACCAGGTTCTTTATCCCAGAGATGTGAGGATGGTCCAACGTGTGCAAAATAAATGTACTACATCATATTGACAGCAGGAAAGATAAAACCACAGCATCATAGCTATAGATTTGACTCAGAAAAAGCACTTGATAGGATACAACCCCCTTTCATGATCAAGATTCTCAGCAAAACAGGTGTAGAAAAGACCTTTCTCAAGGGACCAGCAGATGGCGTAATGGTTACATCACTGTACTCCCACATAGTCGACCACAGTTTGAGTCCTGGACCTGGTGGCTTAACACTCACACCAGGTGTGTGTGTGCCCCAGATCTCAAAAGGAGACTGGAGGCCACCAGATTACAGCATGGCCACCACCACCCCCCCGGGGGGGGGGTCATTTCTCTCTTTCTTTCTTTCTGCTCTCCACCAAGCATGCACACCCTATAGCGAAAAATCTCTATTAAAAAAAAAAAAAAAAAAGACATTTTTCAAAGCAAGAAAAGCCATCTATGACAGACCAATTCCTAATATACCAAATGGTGAAAAGCTGAAAGCTTTCCCACTAAAACTTGTAACAATACAAGGTTAGGCACTTTCTCCACTCATTTTCAACATACTGCTAGAGATTAGCCATGCAATCAGATAAGAGAGCAAAATAAAAGCCATTCAAATAGGAAAGAAGTTAAACTGTCCTTTTTCACAGATGATATTATAAACATAGAAAATCCAAAGGAATCTATGGGGGTGGGGGAGAGGACTCAAAGCGATGAACTCAGTAAAGTAGCAGGATACAAAAACATACAAAAATCTGTGCATCAGGGCTAGCAGGTGGAATAGTGGTTAAGGGCACTGGACTCCCACATGATTGACCTCAGTTTGAGTCCCAGACCCAGCAGCTTGCTTTCTCACTATCCCTCTGTCTCTCTGTCTCTGGGAAGCACACATGCTGTACAGTGAATTGAAAAATATTAAAACTAAATAACTCTTAATAAATAAAAAGATCAGTTTGCTGTATGATCTGAGGTTTATTTCTGGATTCTCTATCCCATTCCATCTGTCTGTGTGTCCATTTTTATGCCAGTACCATGCTGTTTTGATTATCACTGCTTTGTAGTATATTTTGAAGTTTGGTAGTGAGACGCCTACTTTTTTTTTTTTTTTTTTTTTGGCACTATATTGTCTCGGCAATAAGAAGTCTTTTATGATTCCAGACAAATTCTGTAATTGTTTTATCTATTTCTGTGAAGAATCTTATTGATAATTTAATTGGAATCATGCTCGAGGTGTAAATTAATTTGGGTAGAACTGATATTTTAACTATATTTCTTCCATCCAGGAACACAGAATGTCTTTTTTTTGTTGTTTCATATTTTTTTATTTTATTTTATTTTATATTTTTCCTGGTAGAGGTCTTTCACCTCTTTGGTTAGGCTTATTCCAACGTATCTTACTCATTTTGTGGCCACTGTAAATAAGATTGCTTTCTTTAATTCTGTCTCTGTCTATTCATTTTGATGGTACAGATTTTTTTTTAATAATTTTTTTTTATTTAACTTTATTATTATTTTAACCAGAGAGAGAGGGAAAGTGAGAAAGCAAGCCTCTGGGTCTGGGACTCAAACCACAGCACCTTAACCACCACACCACCTGCTAACCCCCAGCCAACTAATCTTTGACAAAGGGTATAAGACAATGCAGTAGAGAAAAGTCTTTTCAGCAAATAGTGCTGGAACAGCTAGACATCCACCTTCAGAAAAATGAAACTGGACCTCTCTCTCTCATCATTAACAAAAATCAACTCCAAAAGAATCAAAAATTTAAATGTGAAGCCTCAAACTATAAAAACAACTAATAGAAAACTTAGAGAAAACTCTTACAGACATTGGAGTAGGCAAAGATTTATTTATTTATTTATTTTTAGAGAGGTTTTTGCTATAGGTTGCATACACTCACTGGAGAGACAGAGAGAAGATGAGAAATCACCCCCTGGGGAGGATGGCCATGCCGCAATCCCTTCTCCTCCATTCACCTCTCAGGATCTTTGGTGGGCATGCACACACATGACTGGCATGAGTTTTAAGCACACTGGGTCTGGGACTGGAACTGCAGTTAACTACTTGGGAGTCCAGCAACCTAACCATTACACGACCTGCTGATCCTAGTAAAAACTTCTTAAGATGACACTTAAGTACAGGCAATAATCCCAAAGGCAGACAAACTAAAAACCTCTGCACAGCAAAGGAAACAACTATTAGAGTGAAATGATGGCACTCAGATCGGGAAAAAATATTCACAAGTTATGCCTCAGACACTGAATTGATCATAAGAAGACACAGGGAACTCAGGGCTGGCAGGTGGCATGGTGGTTACAGATGCTGGACTCCCACATGGCTGACCGCAGTTCGAGTCCCAAACCTGGACGCTTGCTTTCTCGCTCTCGCTCGCTCTCTCTCTACTTTCTCTCTTCCTCCCTCCCTATCCTTCTCTGGTCAAATTAAAATAAATAAATGAAGGTTTTTTTTTTTTATTCTTAAAAAATAAATAAATAATACATAGGAAACTCAAACAGTCCACTTGCAAAATAATTCAACTGAAAATTGGGCAAACAGACAACTGCACACACAACCGGCTAAACAGACAACTCTCTGAGAAAGGTATATGAATGGCCAAAATGCATATGAAATAATGTTCAATGTCTCTTATCATAAAATAAATGAAAATCAAATCCACAATGAGATAACATTAAATTCCAGTCAGAATGGCTATGATCCAAAAAAATAAAAACAAGTGCTAGTGAGGCTGCAGTGAAAAGGAAACCTTCTTTCATTGTTGGTGGGAGCATAAATCAGTACAACCACTACGGAAAACAATATGGAGATGTCTAAAAAACCTATAAATGGAATTACTGCCTGACTCAGTAATCCCACTCCCTGGTATTTCCCCGATGTAGTCTTATCCACTAAAGACAAGGAACCCAAGAAGGCCCTACAGAGATGGTGGATCAGCACGTGGGTAGTGGAGGGAACGGCAGAGGGAGGCATGCCAGGTGGACAGGGGCTGCACAGGCCAAGACCTGCAGGGATGAGGATAGGTGGTCATTAGACAGCCAGGTGCAGCTAGATCACAGATATATATGCCCACTTTCTAATAAAGTGGGGATGCACAAGGGCTCTGTGAGCTCTAATACACCTGAACTCCCTGTACTATTTGCCAAACTCAGAAAGCATGTCCTAAAACACTTTTACCTTCCATCCATGGAAGCCTGAGGACTTCTTGCACATCCACCATTTCCACCTTTAAGGGGAGAAGCTGAGGCTAGAAATTCATTGGCACTTCCAGGGTGATACAGCTAGTACCTAGACTGACAGGTTGCCTGGGCAAAGCTCTGTGCCCCCTACATCCAGCCCAGGCCAGGGCCAGGAACAGAGCAGGGCTCAAGAAAAGATGACAAGGGCCGGCCCCATAGCACAATGGTTAAGCACTGTATAGAGGAAGACAGATCCCACATGGCTGGTCAGGGTTCAAGTCCCGGCCCCAGTGGCTTCACACTGGGCATACAGGTGTCCTAGATCCCAATAGGATGGAGAACTGGACGATAAAGGATTGTGGCATGACCAGAGGGGCCTCACGCACTTGCCCTCTAGAGTAACAAAGATAGGGAGGCCTGAACAAGCATGAGGGCCTAGGCTTCCTCATGCTAAATCTAGCCCAGCACCTCCACTCAGTAGAAGGGGCTTCTGTGAGGAAGGAGGAGTCCTTGGCACCCACCTGCTGATAGCAGTCAGCATCTGGGAGTCTGTCACACTGTCGTCATTGCTGAGGTTCCGGACAACACCATCCATGAGCTCCAGTGGAAGGTGCTGGACTACACTGGCCAGGGCGCTAGATGGTGGCTCCTCCTCTGGAACAGGGCATTGAGCTGAGCTTAGCGAGGCAAGCAAGCAGGCCCCTCACTTTGCCACCACCCCAGGCCCTCAAGCTGCCCAAGAGCTAGCCTAGGCCTCTGTAAAAAGCATATCAGGCCCACCTCCTTTCCCCCCAGTGTCGAGGCCCCTGCTTCCTTTTTACCTCATGCACTCAAACACTTTCACCAGCACTGCTCTGTACCCAGTCCTGTGCTGGTGCAGCTCCACATGTAGGTGCATGGGCCAGGCCTCAGAAAGGAAACACTGCAGGGCCAGCTGGTGGTGTGGTGCTTACGGCACTATATCCCACTTGACTGACAGTTTGAGTCCCAGATCCAGACTTAAAGAAACTGACTGGATGTATGTGTGCCCAAAATCCCAAGAGGTAAATGGAAAAGGAATTGTAGTGTATCCATCCCCCACCCCGGGGGGTGCTTTTTCATTTTCTGTCTCTGTCCCCTAAAAAAAAAAAAAAAAAGAGGAATCGTGAGGCCAGCTGGTAGCCTGTGGTTATTTACAGGAGCTGGATCCCACATGGCGACTGAGCAGTTTGAGTTCCAAACCCAGCTGCCTGAGAAACATTTTGGGCACGTATGCATGTGTGCCCAAGATCCACAAAAGATGGTAGCACTGGAGAAGGGATTGTGGTGTGATCATGCCCACGTGGGGGGTACTTTTTTGCTTTCTCTGGCAAGTCGGTTTGTCTTCTGACCAAAGAAAAAGGGGAGAAGATAACTGGAGCCAGTTAGAAAAGGTAGGACCATGGGGATTTCCGGGAAGGACACTCCCACTGGAACCACCTAAAGACCTAAAGGTCTTATCAAAAATTTTCTGAACAGTTCGAACAATTTCAAAAAAATTTTAAAAAACTGATGAATTTGATAAATTCATTGTCCAGTTGTATAAGGACCAGGTCCTTAAACATACAGCCGTGGCTGTTCTTTCCACCAGAAAAGAAGTGCATTGGTTTTCCTTCCCCTTACAGCCCTGGAATCAGGGAAGACATGGACCACTGCTCAGTAATTTACTCCACAGTCCAAGTTCCACACTGTGCAGGACGGAGCTTTGACATTTCAGAGTTACACCTGCAGGCCCCATAACCACCACCTCTGCCGGCCCTGAGGGCCTTGCTCCTGCTGCCAGGTGCTACCGATCTCTGAAGACCAAGCTCGAATCTCTCAGCTTCTATCCAACTCACAAGGCCATGAGGACCCCCATCTTCCACTGCTCCCCATTCCCACTTCATGCAGTGTGCCCCTTCCTGCCCTTCCATCACACGCCAGAAGCCATGCCCCTCAGGGTAGGTTTGCCAACTATTTAAATAAGGAACAGCTCACCAAAACATCCCATCCCCCTTTGCACAGGTACAGTCCCATGGGCGGCGCAGGTGCTCCTGAGCAGGGGGGTCGGCGCCCCTCCTACGCGCCCGCGCAGGCCCGTGGCTGTGCGTACCGTGTCCCCACTCCCGCCCCACTGGCGCACGCACCTGTGCAGGAGATGACTGCGAACACCTCCTTCAGGCAGGGCAGGATGGCGGCGGGCTGCGCACGCCACAACTGCGCCAGGAGCCCGCTCACCTGCTGGGCCTGCTCCAGGAACTCCACCGCGCCCTCCTCGCCCTCGGCCGGACAGCGGAAGCGGCCCAGGCAGCGCACCAGCTGCTGGCAGAACAGC